ACTTAAATCATATCAAAGACGGAGTACATCGAGATGAAATACTACATTTAGTAAGGAATTATAAGCCAAATAAAATAAAAACATCTGCCCTGAAGATAAGGATAGTGCTGACAGATCAACTTTCAATTCATTGCGCGCCGCGGCGTCCCCCCCCCAGAGCAGCGTGAAATTGATAAACAGATTTCAGAATGGTTAGAGAAACAAAGGATATGCTTTTATCCATTTTTTGCAGGAATACCAATTTTTCTTTGATGGACATGGAAACATACTTTCACTTTGTAGATCCTTTGGGAGCTCCAGCATCGGAAATTCTATTTGACATAATCGAAAGTTCAAGCTTACTTTTATAAAATTGCTCTAACTGTCTGCAAAAAATAATAAGCCGGATCCAATTCGAAGATTAAGAAACAACGCAATCTGCAACAGTAACTGAAATAGATAATTAGATAATTTTAGCTTATACCGTCCGTTATACATTAAACGCGCATGCGCACACACACATATGCGCAGTTGTAAAGGTCTTACGCGCATGCGTAAATGCCTATGCTCATACGTCAACGTGACGCATGCGCAGAAAGTTTGTAGCTTTGAGGTTCGGATTATAGATCATTCCCGATTATGGGTGTCCGAATTAACGACTTTTGACTGTATTTTTGCAAAAATGACTTACTACACATATCACAAGCGTAAGACTGCTGACCAGTATGAGTAATCACGTCTCTTTAAATTCCTATTCCCAGGAAAACTAATGTTGCATGAGCCATATTCCTTAGGCTTTTCGTGTCTGTGTATATGAATATGTTGCTTTGAATGAGATTTTGATGCAAATGTTGTACAGCATATCTCATATATGAGATTTTAGTACTTGTCTTCTGAAACAGCCATGGTGAGAAAAAATATTTGGAACATTTTTGCATCAGCAAGAAACAAATGGTTAATGATCCAACTGCTTTTTTTTTTTTTTTTTTTTTTTTTTAGTAATTGCATTATGTTGATATAGTGGCTTTTCACTGTAATATCACATTATGTTTATTATTTTCAATCTTCCATCAATGGAAATAGAAGCTATAGTTTATATTTAATGCATTATTAGAACTGTGACTACCAGAAAGATTCTAGAAAAAAATTATTTTCTGAATATATATATATTTCCAAAGTAAGCTGAGAGTGTGTTTTTTTCTTCAAAAATTTATCCAATATTTAAAACACTATATAAGCCAAAATCGGCCGTGGAGGAGGACTTCTAATGCTCAAGCACGTCACCATGAGGACAAAAATTTTGCCAAGCAGGTAACACTTGTGGATTATTTTCTAATCAAACTCCTGTAAATGAGTTACTACACATCTTACAAGTTATATTACTACACATATCACAAAGCCACATGCCAAAGACCATAATTTTAATTCTGTCTTGTTTATGATCTGCGGTATCTATGTAATTCTAATTTTTTTCGTGCCAATTTTGTCTGAACGTTGAGCGAAAAAAGAAATACTTATACAGCAATTTTTATACTATAAGTGATCCCTTCAAGAACGACGGAAGCTGAATGCAAATTTTGCCTACATCATATTTTTTGCACTGGCAAAGACACACCAAACCAACATTATAAATTTTGATAAGAAGACAACTCATTTTCATAAAACAAATATCTCACTTTATTTCAGTGTTTTCATAATAAATATAAACTAAAGAAATAAAAAAGTCACGACATTTGGCAATAATCGCTTGCTCCCAGCTAACAGAAAAGTATCTACACTTTTTTGCGAGATTAGCAGATCCATATATAAGCCGACTCCCAAAATTAAACTTCAGGGGAAAAAAAAAAAAAAAAAATTCTTTGCTTATACAAGGAAATCTATGGTATATATGTTACCGGTAAAGTATGAAATACCAGAATTCTAGGCAAAGTATGAAATATGAGAATTATTACATACTTTCCCTAAGCATTCTATAGAATAACAAATGCTATTTAGGCAAATTATAAAAAATGGTCCTGATAAGGCTATTATATAAATGACGCGCATTCCTTAAAAACACAAACATCATAGTGAAAAAATAGAGTGCCATTAAAAAAAATTATTCATAATATGTAAAGAAAAATTAAAGTTGTTTAAAACAAAAATTATGCCTATCTTATTACAGGAAACAAAATTTTCATATAAAAAATAAGAAATTAAAATTTTATAGAATGACAAATGCACTTTAGGCAAAGTATGAAAAAAAGGTCATGGTAAGCTATTATTTAAAAGACATTCATTCCTGAAAAATACAAATGCTATTTTGAAAAAATAATAAAAGACTGCCATTAAAAAAACTTTTATTCTAAATACGTTAAAAAAAATTAGTCAGATGATCTTGGTACACCATAATAAGTTTGTATTTACTATCTGACTGGAAACCAATAAAACCAACAGGAATTAAATTCAGAAAAATCATAGGTGCCTTTTTAATACCTTTTCTTTTCCTGACAGGGCTCACAAAGGTGGATGTACAGTCCAATATTTGGTTTAAAGTTGTTTCAACACTTGTCACATACTCCGTGCCTAACAGCCAAATGGATTTCATGAAGTACGTGAAACAGGCGACACCCTTTTTAACACGATAAATGAATTAATGGTTGATCTTTACATTATGGTAACTTGGCGATTTTTTGGCAAAAATTTGGCAACCAACTCTCCTACAGCAACCCTCTATTTTTTTTTTTCCCCGCCGCCATTTTGTCTTCACGAAGTAAGTAAAGACATGTTTCTTTTCTTTTTATCTACTGAACATTCTTCCAACAATCTAGTAGCCGAATTACACTTATGCTACAAATTTTATCAAACAAAACTGCTTAATCATGACAAATATTCACTGCAAAATTGGGAAAAATGGCACAATACATACTCCTACGTGTTTTTCAAAATAACACATACACATAATAAACCTGTACACGTCGACTTATTTTTACTTAAAAAAAACATCCCAGAATTGCACAAAATGGCACTGCGCACACTCTTCACTATATCCATGTACACTGCTTTTTTCTCATAAATTAGAAAAATTTCACGAAAATACATGACAATTTTCTCAATCTTTAAACCCGGTTAAAAAAGAACATATATGAAATTACCTGATCGCGAAAAAGTATTTACCATTTACAAAATATGAACATTTCCACTATAAATAAATAAAATATCCAAAAAACTTTTACCTCTAAATCATCTATTACATTATACGTCACCAACGAATTCATACCGCAAGCATTACAAATACTTAGTATCAAATATTTAAATTATTTCCATGCATGTTTATTTCAATTAAACGTATACCAAATTCCTACAAACATAAAATTCATAAAAAAACTATCATTTAATTAAAATATCACTAAACCATGTACACGGTCAACTTATTTTTACTTAAAAAAAACATCCCAGAATTGCACAAAAATGGCATTCCGCACACTCTTCACATATCCATGTACACTGCTTTTTTCTCATAAATTACAAAAAATTTCACGAAAATACATGACAATTTCTCAATCTTTAAAACCCGGTAAAAAGAACATATATGAGATTACCTGATCGCGAAAAAGTATTTACCCTTTACAAATATGAACATTTCCACATATAAAATAAATAACAAATATCCAAAAACTTTTACCTCTAAATCATTTATTACATTATACACGTCACCAACGAATTCATACCGCAAGCATTACAAATACTTAGTATCAAATATTTAAATTATTTCCATGCATGTTATTTCAACTTAAACGTATAACCAAATTCCTACAAACATAAAATTCACAAAAATAACTATCATTTCATAAAATATAATAAATTCAAAAACACTACTTAAAATAAATGAGCACATACATTAAATTAATAAAAAATTACCTTACAATCCTAATTACTTTAAAATAAATCATTGCTAATAACAATTTTCCCAAATACCAAATTCCTTTCCACCTTACATTTAGAACAATGCATAAAAAATAATAGCCTCAAATAATTAAAAATACTACTTACCTAATCTTCTTCAGAATCTTGATTACGTGGCGGATACACTTTTCTAATTCATTCAATAAGATTACTGAAAGATTTTTTCTGCGAATTTTCCTCCATACTTCCTCCGCTAAATAAAAAGCAAACTTCTCTTTATCACAATGCCTAAATACCCCATTTCGAATTAACTTTAGTTAGGGCCATGGGATCCAAAAATTAAACAACACTGTTTCACACAACACAGAATAAAGCTAAATACAAAAATTTCCACATTTTTCCCGATTTCCCCCCCTTTTCCGATTAAAAGAACCGTAATTCGTCCATTAATATCACATGACATATCCCATGATCTCTCATTTCCCTCACGCAAAATAATGCGTAATCGGAACTGAGTACTGCTCACATTATTACCAAAGTCCCAGGTAGTAACCTTTATCGCCTCCAAAATGTCGCCAAACTACCAGTTACCATATTGTAAAGATCAACAGAATTAATTTCTATTTTCCACAAACATCACATCATAACGATTCAGCAACCAATAGTCCCGTGGTTCCTTCTTAGCCGCCATATTGGCATTTTTACATCATTTATTAACTTCTGGTAAGTAGTTTCGATTATTAAAAAAGATTATCGCAGATGTATTTCATACCTTGCCAGTTTGCTATTTTATAAAATGCCTAGGCAATGTGTGAAATGTTTAACTGTTTCATACATTGCCGGCCAGTTTTTGGCATTTTATAAAATGCTAGATTTCATACTTTGCCTGTAACATATATATTAATAAATTGCTAACAAAACTGCATTAAGTAAATTCATAAATAGAATTTTCTAGTACATTTATATATCTTGTTATTTTAAATAAACTGCTTGTATAATTGCATTAAATGCAATCATAAATATATATTCTTATATTAAATAAGTTATGTTCTTATTTTAACAAATTGGTGACAGAATTCACCATTAAATTCCATCCATCTCTCTATATATATTAAATAACTTGTGTTGTACAGATATTGAATGAAATGACAATTTATTATTTACCATAGTCAATTTTGTTTACAATGGCATTTACAGTTGGCAACAAATCACACTTTCTTAAGCTTGGACTGTGGCAAAACTGTTTTCTGTCACCAAGGTTGCTGCAGAAGACATGCATCGAGATTTCTCGCCTATATGGGTGTTAAGATGTGTTAGCAAGTCACTTTTCTTTGCAAATAACTTGCTGCATATTTCACATGCATGCACTTTTAGTTTCGTATGTATATGCATATGCTTATTTAATTCACCTTTGCTTGTAAATGACTTCCGACACACATCACATATGTGAGGTTTTTCACCTGTGTGTATAAAAATATGCCTTTTCAAGTTCCTTTTCAGAGCAAATGCTTTGTTACAAATATCACACACATGAGATTTCTCACCTGTGTGAGTAAGATAATGTGAAAATAAATTACTTTGTTTAGCAAAAGACTTGCTGCATATTTCACACTTATATGGTTTCTCACCCGTGTGACATCGAACATGCGTTTTTAAGTCACTCCTGTTAGAAAACAACTTACTACATATGTCACACATATGAGGTTTTTCACCAGTATGAATACGAACGTGCTTCACTAAATTGTTCTTTGCTGCAAAACATTTACCACATGTATCACAAACATGAGGTTTTTCAAGTAAATGGGAACGTATATGTCTTACATAAAGACGTCTTTTTGGAAATGGCTTGTGACATGTATCACATACATATACCTTCTCATCCATGTGGGTAAGCATATGCTGATTTAAATACTGTTTTCCACTACATGATTTATGACACATTTCACATGTATAAGATTTATTTGTCTGAGCACATGCATCTTTATTCCAATAATTCCCATTTAGAAGCGACATGTTTCATATATCATACAAATGAAGCTTTTCTTTTTAAGGAAAATGTTTTTCTATATGCAACACACTTATAAGATTTTTACTTCTCCCAATAAACACATATTTAACCAATCTGTTTTATGCACATGTTATACACATAATTTTCCCCTGGCAATAAACATAAGCAACAAACATTTTGCAATCTTCAAGTTCATCCTATCCTGTAAATGCATATGAATTATTATTTATATTACATATCCAGTTAGCTCCAGGTGTAATATAGCTCTCTTCATTGATATTTTATAATTACAACTATAAACGTTATATATACTGTTCCGTAGACTGTTTTAATATAACTTAGGTTTTGTACGTTTAAAGCACCACATATAACATATATTCTTCTGCCAAAGTTTTCATAAAGTTAACATATACGGCGGCAAAGACCTCAACAAATCAGATCTCGTTTTTGACTATTAAAAATACTTATGCATTATTTTCCTGTGACATGTTACAGTGAAGAATTGTATACAGTGTTTATCGGATTTCTAATTATTTAATTAGTCTTCATATTTAAACTTTGAGTAGTACAGTTGAAATTTTGAATAGAATAATTATACACTGTTTATACTTGTTTCCAGTTATTTTCTTGCAAATGAAGGCACTCATATTTCTGTCAATTTAAAAGCTATGATTTTATTCCAACAGCCTGCCTTTTATATCAAAGATGTAATATATTAAGAACTGTTTCGTATAAATCATAAAACTTTCTATAAAACGAAATTTATTTCTGCGTTCAAATACCGACAAATATGTGGGCAACAATTTCTCGTCAGTTAAATGTAAACTAGCGGCTGTTGCCATTAAGAAAAAAAAAAGGTATTTTTTATAGCTTAACCAAAGAACGTCTATATATTCTTTGGCTTAGTATCCAAAAAAAAAAAAAAAAGTACGAAACACTTTGAAATATATTTAAACATTTTACGGCAATAAGTCCAAATTATTTTTTAGCCCGGTAAAGATCGCTGTTGTGAGATCGTAATTCTTGTCTGTAAATTTTATCTGAATTTTCTTCCTGCAGGCAAAAACACCTTAATTTTCATTAAATCGTAAGTCTTGTCTGTGATTTGATATGTTTTCCGCCAGGAAAGTAATTAAATGTTATGACGATTGTGGTAATTAAATGGACGATTCGTTGTTAATTTGAAATACTTTTTGGGAAGCTTGGGTCGAAAAGGATGTACATCATCTTGGAGAACTGATATATCTTAATACTCTTCCGAAACATTAATAATGTTTATCAAAATTTGTAACGCTCATTATCCAAAAGGGAAAATCTGTGTAAATGAGAAACTGTATATGTTCGATATAACCTGTAACAGTTATTCAATCATTAAAGCGAAATTAAACTGACCATTTTAGCAATACTTAGTGAGTCTTGGGGTTAATTTATAACGTAAATAAGAAATGGACATGAATGTGTTTCATGTAATTAAATAAGTGCAAATTTAATACGCAGGCTGGCAAATTCAAGTATAGAACTGATGTATAAAATGTTTTAAAAAAAAATTGTGCTATAAAAATATCAAGATAGGCGTGTGGCATATTGATAGCAGTGAAAAATCCAACCTTAACAAATAAATAAACAATCCGACAACATTTAAAAGACATGTAAATCTGTCGTAAGTCATTGGAATCGGTGTATGTGTGTGTGCACTGATGGGGAAAAAATGTATGCTGGCGAAAGTCCTAGATACCAGAAGTTTGCCCGTTTGTTGTTAAATTGAATTCTGTTGAGAAAAGTGTAACATACAGACTCCCCGCTCAAAATGGCAGAAAACTTATGGAATAAACTTGAGTAATTATTTATTCATATGTGTGCGTATATTCTAATTGTTTAAACAATTATGATGAATTGGTAAATTAATTGCCGCTACTTCATAATGAGTCAAATACTGTGATGTGTGCTGACTGGTGCATAACAGGAAAATTTCTTATTCTGTATACATTGATATCTTTTTTGATTATTCAGTATACATTGATATCTTTTTCACGTAAGCTCTTTGTAGACATGGATATCATCAACACCAGTGGAAGTCAATATGAATGTGATGTATGTAACATGCTGTTTAGACAGAAACGTAATTTAATGGCACATTTGCGTGCACACACTGGGGAGAAACCATACATATGTGATATTTGTAAGAAGTCGTATGCACGGAAGTATGATTTGACCAATCATATGCATTTCCACACTGGTGAGAAACGGCATAAATGCAATATTTGTGGCAACTCATTTACACGTAAATATGGTTTAACGAATCATATGCTTGTCCACACTGGTGAGAAACCACATAAATGTGAAATTTGTTGTAAGACATTTTCTTTAAAAAGTCATTTAAAGGGACATAAGCTTATTCACACAGGGGAGAAGCCACATCACTGTGAGGTATGTAGCAAGTCATTTACGTGCAAAAGTAACTTTAATGCACATATGCGTAAGCACACTATTAAGATGACACAGGAATGTGAAATGTTTACCCAGTCTTTTACGCAAGAAGGCAACTTAAACAGCAGTATGGTTAGTCACATGGTTCAGAAACCATATAGCTGTGAATATTGCAGCAAGGCATTTACACATAAATGTGACATAAATAGACACATGCTCATTCATACAGGTGAGAAACCTCATGTGTGTATTATTTGTAGCAAATCTTTCACATACAAGAATCAGTTAAAAAGACATATGCGTATTCATACCGGTGAGAAACCATATGAATGTGATATCTGTAGGAAATTATTCACTTGTAACAGAAACTTAAATAGACATATACTTACCCATTAAAAACAATGTTAGATGCATATTGAAGGTAACTAGTGCATATTCTTTATTAATTTGTGTGAGTGAATACCAAAGTAACAAAAATGGAGTACAAATCTCTGATATATAAAAAAAAAATTAATCTTTTCACTACCAGCACATAGGTTATGCTTTAGTTTCCTTCTGTGCACTGCTAGATTAAATGTGATATACGAGCAAAGTTTCACTGCCATCCCAAACTGTCACCTTTGATATGCTGAAATGGAATGTTTTATTTGAAACTTTAAAAATGAAAAAGGTCATACTAGAATTCTATGAAACATAATGGAATAGAATGGTTTAAGTATTAATCTTATTGTTATTAGTATTATTTGTTATTTTATTCTACAAATGCAAAATGTGCAATGCATGTTCAGAGGTTGTCATAAAAGTTTTTATATATGAATGGCAATAGAATATAATAGGTACTGATATTATTTAAATTAAGTTCCCTACTTCATTATTCTATGGATATAATTTAAATATTAGAATATAGTCATTATTTCTATTATTTAATTTAATTTGATTTTCATTTTCATTTTTTCCCCCCATTGGCGGCCACTTAGCAGACTTAGGTGTGGCCACTACTAAGGCTGGATGTGGTGACCACTTTATTGTAGAAGCATCTAGCAGGTGGGCACCATTACCTCCTATGAAGAGGTGGACAATTACAGCCACGCCTTCTCCAGGATTCAAACCCGGGCATTTCGGTATCACAATACTATATCTACTATATTGTATGGGCAACTCATTTTAATTGTAAATATTTGGATTTCCCATTGTATATTATAAGATGATGTTATGTTTTGTATAAAAAACCTGAAAGCAACTCATTCAAACTGTTGAGGAACTCTAAGACTTTATGTGTACTAAGTGATTTTGAAAATGTAATTAAATTTTCATAGTAGGATAAAAATCACAGTGCCGAGAAGTCCAGTGTTTAAAACAGTACAAAGTCCGAAATCCGGACATCCAATAACTGAAATGATCCAAAATCTAAATAACCAACAGCTTTTTTTTTTTTTTTTTTTTTTTTTTTTTTTTTTTTAAAGTTTTTTTAATGTTTTATGCTTGTATATTTGATTATTTTTCATAAAAAAAAAAAAAAAAAAAAAAACATATAGAGACTTCTGATTCTTAATTTTGCTTCAGTACTGACACCAACCTGGTGAGTCATTATTTATTACTTTTTGCTTTCATAGCTGCACAACTATCAACATACTACAACTTGATAAATGACTGCAAGAATGTCTAACCTTTTTTTATGTATTAGTAATTGTAAAAAGCATGGTTACCTTTTATATTGATGAATACAGACTTCAGCTAATTTCACGGCTAAGTGTTGAGTGTATTGATGAGAAAAAATTTAACAGAAATTTCTTTCCATATGCACAAAATAGATTTTGTAAATGATGCTCATAAGCCAAAAGATTACATTTAGCACTGTTTCAATTGGGAATAACAGATTTGTTACTCAAGTAAGTTCAGATATGGTACCGAAGCTGGTATGGCCACAGTGGGCAGCAGTGTTTAAGGGAGGCAATTTTAGAATTTAGAGTAGCAACAAGAAAGATAATAAGAGATAACAAAATCCTTAGAATTTAGGTTAGGCATGTTGATACCAAATTAATCGTGGCAAAATGTTTAGAATTTAGGAAGGAACTTTACAGCAGACTTTTGGACCCACAGAGACTGCACCAGGCCACAAAGTGTTTAGCACTGGCCCTGGATAAGCCTTAAGCTTGTGCAGGAAATAGGAATAAGTATAATAAATAACTAATACAGTACAAAGTCCGTAATCCGGACGTCCATTATCCGGACGTCCATTATCCGGAATGATCTATAATCCGGACCTCAAAGCCACAAACTTTTTTTTGTATGCTTTACGCATGCACTCTTCCGATAGTGAAGAAAGTGACAGGTTATTGAAAATGAAAAAATTTCGATTGACAAGTTAGTCGGTATTCTTGACACAGCAATTACAGGACTTGAAAAGTGGAACTTTGTAACTGAACAAGAAATTATGTCTGTTTATAGAATTAAAGAGAAAGTATTAGCACAAAAAACGAAACAGCTTACATTGAAAGAAATGTTTAATAAAGTAAACAAATAAATATGAAGTTTTTTTTGTAAATTTTGATACATTTTAGATCATAATTGCTCTTTATTTCATAAATTACGGTTTCATATTTTTAATTGTATAATTTCTGCATGCCATCTTACCAGATTTAAATTGATCATCTATAATCCAGAAAAATCCCTAATCCGGAATCGCCGAAGTCCTGATGAGTCTGTATTATGGACTTTGTACTGTACAACTCAGGCTTAACTTCGTTAGCTTGTGATAGAACTCAGTGGTGCAAACAGCCCTAATGGGCCAAGGCCTGCAGTGCCCTAAAATCTGCTTTCTTGACCATGGGCGTGGGCTCCGGGGTGTGTAAGCATATGCCCTGAACATGTGGTCAGCTTGTCGCAGTACCCCCAGTGTTTAGTCCCCAAGCGAACTCATTTTTATCGACCCAAGGGATCAAAGGCTGAGTCACAGGCCCGGGGTTCGAAACCCGTACCTGTGGTGATGCCCTAGCCACTACCCCACTGGGCCCTAGCTTGTGATAGGAGCAAGACAAAGTATAACAAAATAAATATCTTTAGTTGCAAATCTCATGATGCATCACCAGTAGTATCTAGCGGATCGTACGCAAACTTTATGATGATTGCCACAAATTTGAAAGTGTTCGGATATTGCAAATAAAAGACAAAATATTTTAATGGAATGACCTACTATCCTGACTTGCAGATCACCAGCATTTTTTTTACGAAGATAGGTAATGAGAATATGAGAGTAAGGGAAAAAAAAAAATGATAATGTGTCTTGTAAAAGTAATTTTTCTACCGGCTAGATGAGATTTGTATATATCACTTTAATAACAATACATTGACTGACAGATACTTGCATTAAAACTGGCATTCAGCTGCTAATT